GGGTCTGCTCCCCTCTGCGCCCCCCGAGCAGGATTCCAACCCCCAGCCCGCGGGAAGGCGACTGCCTTGAAACGCCGCTGGGCGGCACAACTTAATTCTTTGCTGCGGGTGCTTCGTTTGGAAAAGTGGCCCTCGGTCTGGGGACGCGTGCGGGGCTGAGGATGGATTTCAGGAGGAGGCTTCTGCAAACGGTAATTTATTTACAGGAGGATTTTTACCTGCTGATGCTCCGCGGGCAAAACTCCCTCCCTGAGCCGAACAAAGAGCAGCGCGGGGCTGGCTGTGCGGGGAGGCGGTTGCACGGCTTTGGATTCAGCGGCACATGTTTGGTAAGAGGGACTTTATTCTGAAACGCCTCTTCTGTCTCCGAGCGCATCCTTCGAGGTGGGGTGCCTTGCGGACGCGTGGGGTGCAGCAGGCAGGGAGCGTGGAAGTTGATCTAAAACCCCAGTTAAGGCAAATTCGGACCCTGGAGCTTTTTTGGGGACTGCCGCGACGTGTTGAAAAACTGTGCCTGGGTGCAGGTCTCCACTGGGGTCCCCTGGGGACTTCCAAAATCTGCCGGGCGGGCTTTGGTCTTACTAGCTCAGGCGCGTGAGGGCTTTAGGGTGAAATAACGGCCGGTACGGAGAGAAAAAAACAGGGCGGCAAGTCCTGTGCTGGGAACGAGCGGGAGATAATATATGGAAATAGCCCAGGAAATTAAAGTTGGACTGCAGCGGGCGGTGAGCTGATTCAGCGGGCAGGAGGGAGGCAGGGACGCGGGAGCAGCGGGGGAGGGAGGGCAGTGCCGGGCAGGGGGTCCCGGGGGGGTCTGGCAGTGAGCGCTGCATGTGGGACCATCAGCCTGGATGGGCAGGGACATGTCTGCCAGGACCCACCTAATTTTTTTTCCCCTAGAATTTCCTCCTTGTCCCCTGCCCATCCCATTCCCTTCTATACGGAAACCTGGCGTTGCTGTCGGCAGGAGGACGCCTCGGCTGAGCCCCCTGAACTGGAGCCGCGACGGAGCCCGGGCTGGCTGCTGCCAGACTTGGTGTTTGAGGAGAGCCGGGTTAATCTCCTTAGGGTGATGGATGAGCGGGGCGCAGGCACACCAGGCTTTGAGGCGGTAGAAAAAGTAGCAGAGCATCTTTCTTCATTTATCCACTAATGTCCTTTGTTATTTCCAGAAACATTAGGAGCTATTTTCTGGCTCAGCTGCCGCTTCCCTTTTCCTTCTGCCGGCAGCCGCCCCTCCGCGCCGGCTGGGCTGGGGCAGAGGCAGCGTTGCAGCAAACGCTTCGTTTAAAGGGGTGTTGATGAGACCAGATTTCGGTAAGTGCTTCCCCTGAGCCCACGCTCAGCCCTACCGCTTTTCTCCTTCTTCTCATTTCCCCCCCTCCCCCTGCAAAGCCATCGCTGCTGCCGAGCCCGGGGCTGTCTCTCCCTCCGGACGCAGGGCTGCTCGCCCGCATCGCCCCTTTTCCGACCCTCATTTTCCATTTCCGGGTGACAGCCGCAGCAAAGCTGTGATGAGGAGCAGGATGCGCCCCACGGACACCTGAAACCTGCGGCCAACAGATTTTTGGGGTGCCGAGGCTGCTGGAGACAGGGGTTTTCTTGCCTGCCTGCTGTTTGCAGGCAGCGGGGCTCAACCGCAGGCATGGAGGGGGATGGGGACAGGGATGTGACCAATGCCACCATCTACGAGCTGGCCCTGCAGAACCGCTCCAACGCCAGCGCGCAGTTCACCGGGGTGCAGCTCATCCAGTCCTTCAAACCCCTCATCATCCCTTGCTACGCCCTGGTCGTCCTCGTCGGCATCTTCGGCAACTACCTGCTCCTCTACGTCATCTGCAAGACCAAGAAGATGCACAACGTCACCAACTTCTTCATCGGGAACCTGGCGTTCTCCGACATGCTGATGTGCGCCACGTGCGTGCCCTTCACCCTGGCCTACGCCTTCAACCCCCAGGGTTGGGTTTTTGGGAAGTTTTTGTGCTACTTCGTCTTCCTGATGCAGCCCATGACAGTCTACGTCTCCGTCTTCACGCTCACGGCCATCGCGGTTGACAGGTAAGCGCCGGTGGGGTGGATGGAGCGGGGGTCCGGGTCTGTCCCCCCTCCGGTCCCCTCAAGCTGCTGCTCGCTCGGCTTGGGGTTTTAAGTGCCGAACACTCAAAATTGGAAAAGGAAATATCTGGGGGGATCTTTGCAGTCTCTCTGCAGCCTTTTCTTTAGCATCGGGTCGGGGAAGCACCGTGGGGCTGTTGGGCGGCTGCTGTGTTGCGTCGGGGGGTGATGCTGTGCAGGTTCATGCTCGCCTGTACAAAGCCGCCTCTACCCAAATCCCGACCGCCCACGGCCAGGTCTGCGCTCCCGGCCGGCACGGTGCTCACACAAGCACTGTTGCAGTTCGCACCCGGTTCACCATACTTTGCTGGATCAATTTGCACCCAAATCACGCCGTGTTCTGGCCCCTGGCTGAGAGCACTTGTGCCTCCCTGAGTGCGCCCGGGCAGGGGCTGAGGAGGGGGTGGTTCATAAAAAAACGTGTTTCCATAGAGATCTCCTCTCAGAAAAGATGCTGCAAACCCCGCGGGGATGGGAGCGATGCTGGCAGCACCGACGGCAGCACGGGGAGTGCCTCTCGCGCTGGTTTGCCTCAGCCCGCAGGGGAGAGAGGGGCAGAACCATGATGGGAAGGGCAAAAAAAAACCCCAAAAATGGAAGACTGGAGCAGAGGAGGAAACCTGTACCGCTGGCAGAGCTGTGCTCCTCTCACCCAGGAGGGTCCCCAGGAGTGCTGGTGGTGTTCCTTCGCTCTTCAGCAAAGCACTTTTTTGGGGGTGAAAAAGATTTACTTATGTTTCTCCTGCTAAAGAGGCGGCCACTGAGTCACACTGTCCTCACCGTGTTCCTAAAACGTCATTGGGATTTATCCCAAACGGATGCTTTCAGCCCAAACCCTCCAGCTCCAGCGGGGGTGGAGCAGGTGGCCGTGACTTCGGCACGAGCCTGCGAGCAAAGCAGGCGCCGAAGAGCTGTCGGTGCTTTCCCCTGCACGGGCAATGGGGCTGCACGTCGCGATATGAATCGTTGCGATAGCAAGGGGCTCCCCTGTTTCTCTCCCTGCAGGTACTACGCCACTGTGCACCCCCTGAAGAAGCGCATCTCGGTCACCAGCTGCATCTCCGTGGTGGGGGGCATCTGGCTGCTCTCCTGCGGGCTGGTGGCCCCCGCCATCGCCCACACGTACCACGTGGAGTTTCGGCAGGAGGGCTTCGCCATCTGCGAGGAGTTCTGGATGGAGAAGGAGACGCAGCGCCTTGCCTATGCCTACGGCACCCTCATCGTCACCTACATCCTGCCCCTCTCCGCCGTCTCCCTCTCCTACATCTGCATCTCGGTGAAGCTGAGGAACCGCGTGGTGCCCGGCCACCCCACGCAGAGCCAAGCCGAGTTCGACCGCCTGAGGAAGAGGAAGATCTTCCGCCTCATCGTGCTGGTGGTGGCGGCCTTCGGGGTCTGCTGGCTCCCCATCCACGTCTTCAACATCATCCGGGACATCGACATCAACCTCATCAACAAACACTACTTCCTCCTCATCCAGCTGCTCTGCCACTGGTTCGCCATGAGCTCCTCCTGCTGCAACCCCTTCCTCTACGCCTGGCTGCACGACCGCTTCCGCGGGGAGCTCCGGAAGATGTTCGCCTGCAAGAGGAAGATCATCCCCACCAAGAGCTGCGGGGCTGCCGGCGGCGTGCTCTGAGGTCGCCGACCCCCTCCATGGCTGTGCGCTTCGTCCCATGCACGACGGAGCTTTCCCCGCTGCCGAGGGGTTGGGGATGCCCGTCCTGCCCGTGGGACCGGGGCTGGATGGGGTCCTGCTGCCCGCCCAGGGGTTTGCAGCGCTCGCCGCAGCATCCTTCCCCATACCTGCCCTGCGTCGGGGCTCTCAGCTTCGCTCCTGCCGTGCCCCGAGCTCCCTTCGCCTCCCGGACAGCAGCCGACACGAGCAAAAATGCATTTGCTGCAGCTTTTACCTGCAAAGCAAAACCCGTCCCTCCCGTCAGGGTCCTGAAGGCAAATCTGGACTGGGGGGAGCTGGGCAGAGCGTCCCGGGGAGCAGGGGACGGGATGGGATGGGGGAGCAGAGCTCCCGGAGGACATGGCGGGAGGGGGGGCAGGCTGCACGCTTCGCTTCGGGACCTGGCGGTGTCGTTATTCTAAATTAATGAAGGAAATGGGGCTGAGGGAGCGCGAGGAAGCGGGGGGGAAGCACTGGGGTGGGGTGAGGGCTGTCAGCAGCTCCCCCTTTCATTAAATGAATGACACGGCTCTCATCGCGTCGGCTGTTGGAAATGGCATTTCTCCTGCGAGATTTGTTTTCGGAGAAGCGCTGGTACTTTTCCGGCAGCCTCAGAGCAGGAGAGGGAATGGAGGTGGTACCAGGAGAGGTCAGCCAGTGCGGCCCTGCACACGCACCCGTCACCCTACAGCCCCCCCGCTACCCCTGGACACGCACCTGCCTGTGCACACAGGCGCCTGTACACCCCCGAAACCCCACACGCGCTGCCCTGGGCAGACATGCACAGCCCTACGTGTGCACAAAACACCCCCCCGACACACACAGAGTCCTGGATGTGCACAGCTGTGTGTACACAGGGCACACAGCTGTACACACACCCATTCACACACACCTGTACAGCCAGTACACGCCTGTATGTACACACCTGTACGCCCCTGCACACACATGTACACACCTGTACATGCTGCACACACCTATACACCCCAATGTACACACCTGTACCTAAACCAGCACACATGTGCACATCTGTACGTACACCCCTGTACATGCCACACATACCTGTACACCCCTGTGCACACATATGTACATGTGCACACTTGTAGGTACACACCTGTACATACACACCTGCACATACAGCCCTGTACATGCCTGTATATACACACCTGCATGTACAGCTCTGTACACACACCTGTGCACACCTGTATATATACACACCTGCACGTACAGCCCTGTACACACACCTACACACACTTGTACAACCCTGCACAGATATTCACACCTCTATGTACACACCTGCACACATGTTCACACCTGTATATACACACCTGTACATACACACCTGCACAGATGTTCACACCTGTACATACACACCTGTACACACCTGTACATACACACCTGCACACACATTCACACCTGTATATACACACCTGTATGTACACACCTGCACACACGTTCACACCTGTATATACACATCTGTACACACCTGTACGTACACACCTGTGCACATGTTCACACCTCTATATACACACCTGTACACACCTGTACGTACACACCTGCACACACATTCACACCTGTATATACACACCTGTACACACCTGTATGTACACACCTGCACACACGTGCACACCCGCACACACAGCCCTGCACACACCTGTATATACACCTCTGTACACACCTGTACCAGGCAGGCCCCGCCCACCACCGCCCCGGCCCCGCCCACCACCGCCCCAGGCCACACACCTGTATGTACACACCTGCACACATGTTCACACCTGTATATACACACCTGTACACACCTGTATGAACACACCTGCACACACATTCACACCTGTATATACACACCTGTACACACCTGTATGTACACACCTGCACACACGTGCACACCTGCACACACAGCCCTGCACACACCTGCACACACCTGTATATACACCCCGTACACACCT